GGTCCACTGGTCCTACAATGGCTCTTCAACCAGAGGATTGCTACTTGAAGAAACCAGACCAGTCACTCATCCTCTGGAGTACTGGGTTCTGCCCCTGAAGAGCTCATAAATGAGATTATTTCTCAAGCCGACATGAATGGATTTATTTTAACTTTCACTTGTATTACCAATAAACTAATTCAACAAGATCTCTATGGGTCAAAGACCACTTGTGGCAGAGCACCAGATCCATCTTTCAGAATTATCAGGGTCTCATTTTTATTTCATATTAACAAAAATCATGGGTAACTCCTCTGAAGTAAAGGGAGTTACACTGGTATAAATTGGGTGTGAAGGGAAAATCAGGCCAATTTTGCTAAGATTATATGGCCTTAAACGCAAACAAGTGTAGATCCGTTCTGTGGATCTGGCACCATCCTCCTTCATGGCCAGGTTCACAGATCCTCCAATGTGATTTTATCAAAATTGTTCTGTAAATTTGGGTTGTGCTAGAATAGCCCCTTGAGGCTTTTGTAATTCTGTTCTCACCTAAATATTTTTTGAGAAAAGTAATGGATATTATAAATCTGAATATGTCTGAATTTTCTAAAGTGTATTTGAGTTCCAAGATTTTGTAGTTGTCAAATATCAGAGTATTAGAAAATCACTTTCAGATTTTTAGAAAGGGTGTCACTTTTTTCGGAACACTTTTGTTGTCATGAAAATACATGCAGAAAGAATTCTTTATTCTCAGAAAAAGAAAAACTATGCAAAGAAAAAATGGACAATTAACTACTTGACTTAATTGAGTGGTGTCAAACCAGTTTGCAGCAGTACAGCAAAAGTGACAACATTGATGATTATGCCTAGAATACTGGCAATGGTTATGATGTAGCTAACTGACTTATTCAAAGCAGCCACCATTTGTTGTAACTTATAAATGTGACTGAAGCCATAGACTGCCTTAGGGACCACCATTTGCATGTGGAAGTGAGGCTGCCCTTTGTAAAGATGCCTACGATCTCATATTGTTTCCAATAGGACTAAAGCAAGAGTGGCCTCAGAGAAGATGACCAACCCAGTGCTCAGAAAACTGGACAGAAAACTATTAGGAGATGGGGTCCAGGAGACTGTGGGGGGAAGGAGGGAAGGTCCCCAGTGGGTTCCCCTTACCTTTGCCAGAGCATGCCTCCAGATCTCCTAGTCTCCAAAGATTTCCCCTAGCCTCAACAAATCCTACAGCACTCCTAGCTCTACGGCGCATAAGTCAGTAAGTGCTACATGTCCCCTTTGTATCAACAGAAGGTGTAAATCTACTACAGCCCTAAACCAAATGCTTGGCTCTTTGCTGAAGATCTGGAGAGTCCCAGTTCAATCCCTGATGTGTCAGACAAGATAGAGACCATCACACTAGTATGGTGGGTGTGGAAGGAACAACTGAATAATTTACAATCCTCCCCCCTCTACTCTTTATAGGAAGCAAAGCACTCTCAATCTTTCTGATAGACCACTCCCCAATCACCTTTCTTAATGGCAAGATACTTCTGGTTTGCAGGGATCCTCATCAGAAGTTCACCACATGACACTGTCAGTCTAATGAGGTGGTGAGTCCTCCTGCAAAGGGCGCAGCAGTGAGAGCTCAAGAAGGACTCCAATGGTGCACATGGTCAGGTGGGAAGATTTGCTCCCCACAGCCTCCCTTTCATCTGATGTAGTGGGGACATGAAGTAAAGAACAGCCTCCACTCCTTGGCAGAGGCAGCCTGTCATATGCAACATACACAGCACCTCAGAACATGGGAGTCTCTGTCAAAGCGACAGACCTTCCACAAGAGCAGGAGAGCCCCTAGCACTAAGGTCCATAGCTCCTGTATGCTGTGAACCCAGGCCCACTCATGGGAAGCAGCAGCCAGGATTTCCAGGGTACAGGAGCTATGAGCTCCAGTGCTGGAGGTTCCCTAACTTCTTTCAAAGCTCTGTGGCTTCAAAAGAGGCTCCTCTACTCTGAAGAGCCTTGAATGGCTTGGCAAAGCAGATGCTACATAGGATAGGTTCTCATAATAATACAGGCATTCCTGAGCTGAAGTAAGATTTAGGCCACGAGGGAAGGATGCACAAACTGCCATCTCATAAATCAAACAAGAAGTGGGGAATCTTCTATGCCCTCGCCCTTACCCACACCTTTCCATAAAATTGGAATGGGATAAGTAGGGGGGAACTGGGTGGCATTCATCTCCTCCATCCCGCAACAACTCCTGCAGGATCACAGGGAAAAGTCTTTTCTCAGGTGAACATTACCTACCTCATTAGCCCTGCAATAAGGATGGGACAACTGACACACAGAGGTATTCCTGTACTCATTCCTGCCCTCCTCACTTGACTCTCTGCTTTCTCCACTATCATAAACATCTGTGCTCCAGTCATTTTCCTCACACCATAAGGAAAGTGAGGAGAGCCATCCATTCTCCACTTTTCCATGTGCCCCCAATACGCTCCCATACACCTCCTCTATTAGAATTGCCACATTAGCATAAATAAAAGCTTAATTTTAAACCAGTTAAGGTTCGGTAAGTGCAAACCCTTGATGACAAGTTAATGGCCATAAGGAAATGCCAGGTTATTGGACAGCTCTTAACTGTATCAGACTCGTCACACAGCAGGTTTCTACTGAGAACAACAGACTACACATATCATCAAGAAACTCCCTTCTGCCTCAGAGAAGAAAACATACTACACAACACATTACGCAGAAAGCCAAACCTTAGCGATAACCTCACATTTTTGCTGTGAACACACACCACACCCTTAACCTGTGCATATACATCAATGATGGACATTTGCTAATGTTGCTGAGGTTGTTAAAGTTTTGCCGGGGCAAATGCAGTACTTGCTATCATCAGACCAAGTCACCTGGAAAAGCACCAAAGCAGGGTGTGCCTTTCCTCGAATGCCTGAAACACTGCCTGGAATCTCTGGAAGGGTCAGACTGGTCAGAGAAAGAAGCAGAGTTCATTTCTCTCTTTGGGGCTGTTCTGCAGCACCTCAGAAACAGACTAGGAATTCAGGTTGTTGTGTAGCATCTTCTTTGTAGGATTCACAAGAGCACCTGCAGAAGACCTTGCTTTTGACCTTGGAGTACTCTGAGGCACAGGTGTTTTGCACTCTGAAGAAAGAGACATCTCTTTGGAAGGAATCCTTCTGAAACAGGGAGTGCCAGCAAAAATACAGGTGTTGACCCCATGATGAAAGGTCACAGAGTAAGATGGCTGGGTACTATGGGCTAGAAGATAAAATTGAGCCTTTGGAGTCCTAATACGCAAAACTATCAGGGATCTCCTACTCCCAAGCTGCGGAGCAGAAAATCTAAAAGAGGTTCCTATAAGACAAAATGGATGGCTCATTTCTTGAGAGACAAAGACGGAAATAGTCAGTTGGACATTACTGTGGCCATTGATCCCTAAAAGCTGCTGAAAGTACCTCTCTTTATTAATGAGACTTTCGTTCCTGAGCCAATGTCTGTCCTGTTATGAAGGATCTGCTTCTCAGGAGGTGCAGCTGTCTATTCCTGCTATGTTGAGCTTTGTTTGAGTTTCCCCGGGATCACAGTTCAGGTTGGTAGGCTGAAGTGACCTTTTTTGACTGCTCCTTGACAGTCTGCTTGAATGCTGGGGGAAGGGAATTTGCTGGCAGGGGTGGGAAGCCTGAACAGTTACTTCTCTCTTCCACTTGGGTGCCTGGGAAGGTGCCTGGGAACATCAGCGGCAAAAATTCCCATCTAGTCACTTTAGGAAGAGAAAGGTTGTGGCTTCTTTTTCCCAAGTGTGCTGTCTGCACACTGAGCTGCAGGAGAGAAAGATGGTTCCAGGTTTCAGCAGATCTTGAAGAGTAGTCCTGCTCAGAAAAGTTAGATAGCCAAGCACAAATATGTTCCAAATTAAGTGGAAAAATTTAAAATTCTAGAATATACTTTAAAAAAACTGCTCTTGCTTTGGAGAAGGAAATATGTTGTCCTGCTGCCATTTAAAGATAGGAGAGAACTAGTAGGCAATCCAAGGCTGGAGCCCAGACCTCAGGAAATGACTGACAATCCTGATTTCTGCCTCCAAGCAGCATGTAAGCAGGTGCCTTTCCTAACCTGCTCTCACACACAGTCCACACTACATAGAATCTAAGTTGACCCCTCCATAGGGTTTGGATTTTATTAAAGATATTAACAAGGCAACAAAGTTCTGCCCCAACTTTTACCCAGACTTGGATGCTCCTAGAATTGCATCCTTCAATCTGCTCAGCTCACACTCTGGACAGCCACTTCCATTCAATCCACTCTAATGCCCTTACCTTATCTAGGAGGGGGTCCATTTGACTCATTTTGTCTGCACAACCAACTTACATTCCCCAACAAACATTGTGGGGTGCTTGTAGGCAAACACAGCCAGCCTATTATCCTACAGCAGAAGCTAAAGATCTTTTGTGAGATATGTAGACCTGGCTATAAAGGAGAATGTACAATTGGATTAATTAACAATTTTGTTTATAACAAGTGAGGACTAGAATCCAGCTCATACTTCCACAGCTCTGCTGGCTCTGCAGTGCTATCAGAAATAAGAAATGGTAAAAAATTATTTTTATTACTGATGCAGGAAGAAAAGAAACGTATCTGTTCAGTGAGATGATGCCACTTTTACATAGTCACTTTTCAAACTGGACTACTACTTCGGGTGACTTGCAGTTAGGGTGACCAGACAGCAAGTATGAAAAACCAGGACAAGGGGTGTGGGGTAATAGGCACCTATATAACGCAAATCCCCAAATATCGGGACTGTCCCTATAAAATCAGGACATCTGGTCACCCTACTTACAGTCCACACAGGAAGTCTGTAGCAAAGACACAAATATGCACCTCAATATCAGTCCCATGCCTTAACCTCAAAGCCATCCCTTCCTCCCCAAGAAGTATTCTTCTTCGTATCTTTAGTAATCTGAAGAATTTAAATAAAAAAGAAAAAAATGTTAACTACTCACTGTAACACCGGCAAATCTGAAGTAATCATTTTTGTAGCACGGCACCCTCTATGAAATATTACAACTACATAGAATTTCTTCTAATGATGATGTTACAAGACAACTTCCTGGTAACTATGTTCATTAATCTCAAAGTCCAATCTATAAAATAAAAAGATGAAAACTTATTAAAGTCATGATTTCAAAACGGACATTCAATATATTAAATGAAACATTGTTATAGACTAAAATCTGTTAGCTCTGTATTAAGTTTACTATTTCAATCATACGACACTCCAAAAATTCAGAATGAATATCCCATGGCAACTTGGCTATATCCTTGCATACAGTCATTACAACTGGGCCCAGCCACATTAATCTGAACAATAGACAATATGACATTTTTTAAGAAATTACACGTATGGCATTTTGTATTCCTAGATATATATTCATGCTGAGGTCACATTAACAGAGTTTTGTATACATAATATTCTAAGAAAACAAAAAACTAAAGACACAAACAATACAAAATAAATGTAAATATAAGAGTATAGAGTATGAGGGACTAGTGAACGCACTTTCTATTCAACCCAGGAAAAACAGAACCTATTCAATAGGGTTTAACTTTAACCAAAAGTTAATCCTGAGCTGAAGAAGGCCTTAAAACAAAACTCTGCCTGTTAACATTACCTTCCTAGAACTCCAGCTGCCTGATTAGACTAGCTAATAAAACGCAGGATGAAAGAGTTTTAGATGATTGTTCCCTCTATGCAATCCAAACTGCAGATACAAGAATGTCTAACTGTACTGAAAAGGATTTTAACCATGAGGATTCCAAAAACAAGGCTAAATTCGTCCACCTTACACAGTAAGGCAGAACTTAAAATAAAATAGACAATTATGCATTCTCACAAGAGGAACCCTCTAGTCTGGAGACTAGTGAGTTAATCACATCATGAACTGTGAGAAACTCAGATGGGCTGATCTGTTGATACAACAGAATATGAGGGGTTGCTGTAAAGTTGTTGCATTAGATGTGAGTTTGATAAATAAAGCGTGTGTGTTGTTTTTCAGTATCTGTGGGAAATGAAAGTGAATGCATTATGGATGAGATAAGATAAGACTGGATGGATAAGACTGCAAGTTTGTCATGGAGATCACGGATTTCATGACTTATTGTGACCTCCGTGACTTCTGCAGCGGCTGGTGCAGCTCGGGCAGCCCCTGGGCCAGCCACACCAGCCACTGCTAGGGCGGTCTCGGGCCACCCTCCCCCCAACCAGCAGGAGTTCAGGTGTGGGAGGGGGCTCAGGCACGGAAGGGGGTGAGGAATTTGGGGGTCTCCCCAGAAGCAGCAACATGTCCCTCCTCAGCTCCTAGCTCCACACACTGCCTCCGCCTGCAAGCACTGCCCTTGCAGCTCCCATTGGCCGCACTTCCCGGCCAATGGGAGCTGCGGAGCTGGCAGCGAGCAGAGCTAGGAGCTTAGGGAGGGACATGTCGCCACTTCTGAGAAGCCAGGTAGGGAGCCTGTGAGTCCCGCCAACCCTGCCCAGCACCTGCAGCACCCCCTGTGCCGCCGCCCCCTGAGCACTCGCAGCCCTCCCAAGAGTTAATCAGGGGTAGAGTATAAGTCATGGACAGGTCACGGGCCGTGATTTTTTGTTTACTGCTCATGACCTGTCGATGACTTTTACTAAAACTACCCATGACTAAAACATAGCCTTTATTATGGAATGCTGCAGTGTGCTACAGAAAGCCGTGTAGACACTGTGAAGGAAGAAATGAATGCTAGGAACTTTCCCTTAAATATCTTCATTCCATGCCTTTAAAGCTTTGGGTGCATCCTGATGGATCCTTAAAGAGTCACTAAAATAAAGGAATGTTTAGCGTTAATTTCTTAATTTTTATACTTGGCTGATGTACTTAAGTAGGTTCCGCAAGATTAGGGAAATGACATGGGGAGCTGCACCTGATTGGGAAACAAAGGTAGAAACTGCATTGATGAAGCTGCTCCCATGATTTGTGTCAAACCTCGTGAACAGCATGAGAGGCTGCAACATGCATTAGGAAGGTTTTTGTCTCCATGTCATTTTACCACCATTTAAAAAGGTACTGAAAGTAGATATACCAGGAGCAACAAACATCATATTTAGTAGTGATGACACAACATGCTATAGCTTTTCCCACTTCTGGAAAATGGATAGTCAGAAGCGGCCGCAGCAGCAGCTCTGCCTAGTGTGCTTCCCCATTCCTGTCGGCACGAAGCACATCTCTCAACCTTCAAACCTGCAAATGTGCAACACCAGCATACAAAAGGGTGACCAATGACCAAAATACAACATTTTCTTTCAGCCTCTGCAGTTTGTGTGGATTAAATATAACATTTATCCTTATGAAACTCTGAATTGGCACACACATTCATGGTTTTTAACAGCAAAGGCGATTAACCATTGGAACAAACTGCCAAGGAAAGTGGTGGATTCTTCATCTTTTGGTGTCTTCAAATCAAAAGATCTATAACTTCTTTCTGGATCATTTGCTTTAGTCAAAACACAAGTTACACTTTAGTCAAACACAAATTACTGGGCTCAATACAGGAGCAAACTGGGTGAATTTTAATGGCCTGTGATATGCAGGAGATCAGACTAGATGATCTAATGATCCCTTCTGGCCTGAAATTCTCTGAATCCTTAAAGATAGAGCCTTTCATAGATTTCAGTAGTAGGCAAACACCCTCCACTGTTGACTTGACCATGGAGGAGCTATTAAGATTACCTTGGTCCCATCATGCCTCCTCTCTCTCAGTACCTTCTGTATCAGTGGAAAGCATACAACAATACCTTCTCCCAATTCAGAAGAAACAGGAGCAAAATGGATAGACTTTCTGTCTGCCCTTGAGAAGAAATGAGGCACTGCATGTCCTGCATGATGGTGAAGAGAACTATCTCTGGAAACCTTCAAAAGCTGAATGTGTTTTGAATTAGTGAATCCTTTATAGACCTTTCATGCAGTTGTGTCAGGCCTCTGCTGAGCTGGTGTGCTTTGTCATTGTCCCTGCCTGCTAAGTGAAGAGCAATTGTTGCACATACACCAGTTTGACTGTCTCCTTGTATAGTTGATACGCATGAACTCCTCCCTGCATGTTCAGGTAATGACACAGCTGTTGTATTGTCCATGACGACTTGTATTACCTTGTTGTGAATAAGGGGGAGGGATAGCTCAGTGGTTTGAGCATTGGCCTGCTAAACCTCGAGTTGTGATTTCAATCCCTGAGGGGGCCATTTAGGGAACTGGGGTAAAAATCTGTCTGGGGATTGGTCCTGCTTTGAGCAGGGGGTTGGACAGATGACCTCCTGAGGTCCCTTCCAAACCTGATATTCTATGATTCTATGGGGAAGAAAATTATTTCAGAGCTACACTGATAGCCCTCAGTTCTAGCATATTTATATGTAGGGCCCTACCAAATACATGGTCATGAAAAATGTGTCCACGGACCATGAAATCTAGTCACCCCCCATGAAATCTGGTCTTTTGTGTGTTTTTACCCTATACTACACAGATTTTACTGGGGAGACCAGCGTTTCTCAAATTGGGGGTCTTGACTCAAAAGGGAGTTGCAGGGGGGTCACCAGTTTATTTTAGGGGATGTCACAATATTGGCATCCTTACTTCTGCACTGACTTCAGAGCTGGGCAGCTGGAGAGCGGCAGCTGTTGGCCAGGCGCCCAGCTCTGAAGGCAGCACCCCGCCAGCAGCAGCACAGAAGTAAGGGTGGCAATACCATACTATGCCATCCTTATTTCTGCGCTGCTACTGGAGACAGCTCTGCCTTTAGAGCTGGGCTCCCAGCCTGCAGCCGCCACTCTCCAGCTGCCCTTCTCTGAAGGCAACACTGCTGCCAGCAGCAGCGCAGGAATAAGGGTAGCAGTACTCCAACCCCCTCCCCCCCAATAACTTTGCGACCCCCCCACCACAACTCCTTTTTGGGTCAGGACCCCTACAATTACAATACCGTGAAATTTCAGATTTAAATAGCTGACATGAAATTTAAAAATTTTTAAATCCTATGACCATGAAATTGAACAAAATGGACCATGAATTTGATAGGGCCCTATTTATATGTAATATCTTTTCTCCATAGCTCTAACATTCCCAAATCAATATATAGTCTCAATGAGTTCTCCATCCTGTCTTGGAAGTATCCAAAGTGATCATCAACAAAGGAGTAAGAGGACTGAAAGATATTCCTTTAAGAACATTCTCTGGTTGAGTCCATCCCGACAAGGACACTAGAATTGCTTTTGGGAGAGAACGAGGAGTACTTGTGGAACCTTAGAGACTAACAAATTTATCTGAGCATAAGCTTTCGTGGGCTAAAACCCACTTCATCGGATGCATGCAGTGGAAAATACAGTAGGAAGATATATACACACACACACACACACACACACACACACAGAGAGAACATGAAAAAATGGGTGTTGCCATACCAACTGTAACAAGAGTAATCAATTAAGGTGGGCTATTATCAGCAGGAGAAAAAAACTTTTGTAGTGATAATCAGAATGGCCAATTTCCAACAGTTGACAAGAAAGTGAGAGTAACAGTAGGGGGGAAAATTAGCATGGGGAAATAGATTTTAATTTGTGTAATGACCCATCCACTCCCAGTCTTTATTCAAGCCTAATTTAATAGTGTCCAGTTTGCAAATTAATTCCAATTCTGCAGTTTCTCGTTGGAGTCTGTTTTTGAAGGTTTTTTTGTTGAAGAATTGCCACTTTTAAGTCTGTTATTGAGTGTCCAGGGAGACTGAAGTGTTCTCCGACTGGTTTTTGAATGTTATAATTCTTGACGTCTGATTTGTGTCCATTTATTCTTTTGCGTAGAGACTGTCTGGTTTGGCCAATGTACATGGCAGAGGGGCATTGCTGGCACATGATGGCATATATCACATTGGTACATGTGCAGGTGAACGAGCCTCTGATAGTGTGGCTTATGTGATTAGGTCCTATGATGGTGTCCCTTGAATAGATATGAGGACACAGTTGGCAACGGGCTTTGTTGCAAGGATAGATTCCTGGGTTAGTGTTTTTGTTGTGTGGTTGCTGCAGGTTGGGGGGCTGTCTGTAAGCGAGGACTGGCTTGTCTCCCAAAATCTG